TTGTTAGAACTAAGCATACATTGATTCCATAGATTGAGATGGCCAAGCTTTTTGAGGCAAGTAGACGAACTTCAAAAATAAAAAATTTTCTCAAGTATTGATTGGATTTAAAGGAAAGCTGCTCATACATCATTAATGCACAAACCCCCATGCTGGAAGAGTTTACCACATAAGTATGGGGTGAAAACACAATCAAATCAAATGAAGTTGCTTAATCTTAATCCAATTAATCCTGTCCACAGTTGTGATTGGACTGCATTCTGCATCACTTGCGGGCTGCAGAATTAAGCAACAAGTTGTTTGCAGATCTCATCATATGAAGTGTATTTGTATGAAAGGGGTTAAAGAAACACAAAAGAGCCACTTCCTTCTTTGAGATGAGTACGACTAAATATTTATTAGTATCAGGCACTACATGAAGAGCTATCAAAACCTTAAATTCAACAAATGCTTTGTCGGATTAGTTAACCCTAAAAAAGAATCTCAAACGAAGAATTTTCAAGCGCCACAAGAATCTTGATAGTGAATGACGAAGTTTTTGGCAATGTTATGATCGGGCAAGATCAAAATCCCTCTTCTCTGGTGACAAAAAGTAACTCCTTTCAAGTCTTCACCTGAACTCTTTTAACAATATACTCAGACAGGTGAATCAACATCTTTCAAGCACCTTCAACTTAGGTGGTTCTCAGCTCTTATAGTGCAATGGAGCTGACTAAAATATTTTTCTCCAAGCACATCTTGTGCACACAAGAACAACAGATCTTCTACTAAAAATTCCATGAAATATTATTCTTGGCGTTCACTCATTAAACTGCAGCTAAGTAGTGTGCAAAAAAGTTGAGGTTTCTCCTGAGCAAGATAGTAGGAACCACCTCACGATGAAAGTAAGACTTTCCCACTACTTTATGATCTCTATTTTACTAGAACCGAACATGGTCTCAACGAGAGTACCACAAAATGTGACTGTCAATTTACCGAATCTTAAAGAAGTTAGTGAGACAGAACAGCTATTTGAATGGCTCAGGGAGATGGAAAATACAATTGAAAGTGAACATAATAGTTCAGAAAGAAGAAAACCTCAACCATAAGTGAGAAGGTACTGAGCACCAAATCTCTCAAGAGCTGCACTATCAAAACTAAGAGATCTTTAGAATCCCTTGGGATTTTTTAGGGAGGTGAAGAAAGGCGTCGCTGGCTTACGCAAGACAAGGTTTTAATACAAAAATTATCAAGCTTATACCAATCACAATGGAGAGCTAGACTCAAAAAATTACAGTCCAAGAATTAAAGATGATTAGTTACACATTTGAATGTTAGATCCTGTACAATCAGTATCTTTGTCGCTCGAGATTGAAATTCATGGAGTTAAGTGGAACACGTATCCCACCTTCCAAAGCAATGGCATTGCTTTCTGTCTTCGTTTTTTAGGAAGAACATACCCCTACTCTTCCTGCAGTTAAGCAAAAATGAGAAGTATCATTTCATCATTTTGCAGATCCACTTTCTTAATTTTACATTCCTTTTTCAGACAATGGGTTCCTTAAGGTTTAGGAGCTAGCAGCATACTGTACAAAACCTTAGAGACAGTAAACATTAAATATCATTCAGCTTAGTTACATAGACAAGTAACTTTTGGATCACATAGGATACAAAAAATGAAGTGCTTTGGACTTTTTGAAGTTCTGAGATGATAAGCTTCAGCTTAAATGCATTGTTATACACAGAAAAAAAAAATTACAATCATACCTGAACCAAGAACACATCTAAAGCCAAAACGGGACTCTGGCCTGGAGGTATACCCTGGTAGTATGGAACTGCCGATGAAGTAAGAGCTTTGGCAACCAATAATCCAACAGTTGCTTGCATGCCTAGAATTGAAGCACCCATTCCAAAAATATTGAGAAAAATGCCATTTCGTAAACTTTTTATCACATCAGCTCGTGGAGGAGCCTGTATTATAAAAGTTACAGACACAAAAAGACCATGCAAGTTAAATTACAGTTCGCAGTAAAGAAGATGTATGATAGATCATATTAAAATAATGAAGTAAACGATAATATGCAACAGGGCACAAGGATGGGATCGATAAGGCATGCACAAGATAACTGAGAAAAGAAGAATTAGGCATATAGCTAAAGAGGACGGAAAAGTACGCAAAACATCATTTTCATTCCAAAAATAAGCATGACTATTACATGCCCTTGAATCTCTATTTACATGCCCTTCTCGTCTATGAACAACTAGTGACAAACCAAATGTCTTTGTTTCATTACTACAATAGAGGGCATCCAACTAGCTGAATTCAACACATGCAGTTTATCAAGCTAAATAATCATTCACTACAACCTCAGTGGAGTTTGGTGTTCTCTGGCAAATATATTCCACTTGTCAGTAGGGGAGATGACTAGTACACTAAAAAATCTATAGACCATCCTTCCTATTAGGGTGGATGGTGCTATCTTTGTTGAGTCAATGGTAGTTAACCCGAGTTTATAGTAATCAAATTGGTATATCACTATGATGAATTACTCAAAAAAACCATCTCGATACCAAGTCCCATAGATAATACCATACCCTTTGAGTGCAAAGCTCCAACCCAAAAGTCAATGCCAACTAGGACAAAGGAGATGGGGTTCTTGTTCCATCCCAACACAATGACCATGAACCTTTGGTCGTGACAAGAAGGAACCGCGCTCTAACTAGTAGAGTGGATAAGGAGGAGAGCCATGGAGATAAAAACCAAGCAACTGTAATAGACACTAAGATGGGAGCCGCATCCCTTGAGGGGAATAAAGTTGTTACTGCCATGGGCATAAATAAACTGTCCAAGTATCCTGACTTGGAGAAAAAGACTATCAGAATAACTACTCTAGGTGGGAACTATCCTTGTAAAAGTCACATCTTTAAAGCCAATTTTGATAAGAAACTATAGAATTTGGGTCCTATCAAGACATTCCAATGCAAGAGGAAGAGCAACGCACTTTGCTTGGGCCTGGGGCAGGAGTCCCCCATCAGATATCCAATGAATTATTGCATAACATGGATCTCCATTGCTAAAGGAGCTGTCTCTTGGGAGTACTCTACAACAGCTCATATTTGTGCTCAAGCATATTCTCGAAATTGTGTTGTTTTGAGTATATGTACTAGTGCTTTAGTAGTTAGGTTTGTCTTGGGTACATGTACAAGAGGAATATCATCTACTTTTGTATATTTTTTATTCATGTTTAAATTTGCACCTTTCAGCTTTTAGTTAATGCAAAATGCAAACTTTCCAGGTAACCATCCTAATACAGATCGCATGCCCACTTACAAGTGCAATAAATTATACCCTTATGCTTATGAGGAAAGGCATTTTATAAGGACAGTTATATGAATTTATCATATTTAATAATTTTACGGCTCATTAGAGACTATATTCTTCACAAGTTATAATATTTAACATGATAGGTTCCTATCTACAGTTACAAATTTACCTTTATTAAAGGATTTGGGTTTATTCACACAGAGAAATTGGGAAGGTCAAATGCAGACCTACAAGGAGTTGAATTTATCAACAAAACCCACAAATACAACTACAACTTAGTTCCACTCATCATATAGATACGGTTGTAAGAGTGATTACATGTTGAAAGGTCCAAGCTCCACATATCATTCTCATTGGATTGCATCGACAAACTAGTTGGATATATATTTTCATGCGAGTTAATGTCTATGAAAACTTTTTTACTTTGGGGAAATTTACATGCATACCTCCCAATTCTTTACATGCATACCTATACCTCCCAATTCTTATGTATTTACACATCTAACACCTAAAGTTTGATATATACACTATAGCATTTTGACGTCATAAACCTATGCATTAAAAAGTGTATTTCATTTTAAAGAAAATAATAATGACTGTATTTTTGATGTGATGTTAATGTTTTGAGCGTTAGAAATGTAATTATGAAAGTTTAGCTGTTATACATGTAAACACATAAGAATTATGTGAAATGTATATTAATGCCCCTAAAATTTATTAAAGTGGAATGAATAAAATGATACATGAAGTATAAATAGATAATTTAATGATGTACAATTATAAAATTGATGGTCTTCGATAGAATAAGACAATAGCATGTCATCTTGTCACCTTGTATAACAATAGTACTTAATTATGTAGTAGTCCATCAAAACCATTATTTATGATGCATGTATAAATTTATGATATGAATAATATTAAACTATTAGAAGTAGGTCATCTGAATATCATGCATTATACCAATAATTGTTTGATTGACTAATAAAGGATATGGATATTTGGACAGTCTCTGTATCACTTTGTTAGCTGGAACCACTTCGTGCGATATCTTTTAAACCTAAATATGTGATTATTTAACAACTTGCAATTTATTTCGTTATGTCTATGAAATAGACATTCAAGAGAGTCGATAAGAAAGAAGGGCAGACGTCAACTAATCATAATACCATCATATAGCTATATTAAGCAATGAAATAACATATGAGAGTGCAAAGTATAGTTGACTCTACACTAACATGATGATAAAAAGAGCTGATAGTACACATATAGTGGTATAGATTTTGAACATCACTTTACCAAATGAACGACGTAGCATAAGGGCAAGATAGATACGACAGAGCATCAGTTTAAAAAATAGTGGTATGTAATAAAACTATATATTGGGTTTTGCTTTCAACTGATAAACGATTATTTACATATGGGAAAACTAATTCATGTGCATGAAGGGCATCATAAATTTATCTGTATTGGGCATAATAAAAAAGCTAATCCAATGGCCTTTATATTAAATAAATCAGAGTTATCAGGCATTGTAGATCACTCAATACACATTGTTTCATTAGTCAACAAAGCATGCAGGTTCTATAGAACAAACCCATAAAAATCACAAGAATATTATAGAGTCCAGGGCTCGGCACTCTAAGAAGATCGACATATAATGCTCCAAAAAAATAAATTGTGGAAGCTCCCCGAAGCTTAATTAATGATGCTATGCAATGTTTGCCATATGCAGGCCCTTCAACACAAGCAAACCCATCAACGTATGCAGACACAAAACAACCAGACATCCTATAAATAAGTCATTCAAATGCAAAAGAATTGACAAAATATTAGCAAACACTCAATCTACAAATGAGTGCTTTCAAGGGAGGTCAATTGAACTCCCATTTTAAAGTATGCCAACACCCACACAATATAATATGATTATTCTTATTTGCATATCACTGACATATATTTCATCAGTCCCAGCCTACTCACACTCTTATTGGATGCAGTCTCAATCTTTTCATCATCCCACCAAGAAAATATAATGAAGAAACAATTGCAAAAGAAAGTACAAAAAAAGCGAACACTTAATCTGAGACCTGATAGATATACACTTGAATAAATACAATCGCACAGTACCAAGAGATCTTAGTGATGGTATTTTCTTATTCATAATATTACCAACACCAATCAATCCCTATTTTTATCTTTAAGATATTTTTTTCGTATCAAAGAAGATTATTTGAGTAATGGTATGTTAATTAATTGGGAAATTTACATATATAGCACACAATTCTTATGTATTTACATATCTCGCACCAAAATTTTCGTATTTACCCACATACCATTGTACCTAAGCATAAAAAGGTGGACTTCAGTCATGAGTAGCAATAAATAGTTGTAGATTTGATGTGATAGGAAAGAAATGAGAAGTATGTGAGTAAATATGAAGATTTGGGTGTGAGTTATGTAAATGCATAAGAATTGCATGCTATGTATGTAAATGTCCCTACTTAATTTAGCAATGTAAGTATAATATGCAGAAAAACAATGTATAGGTGAATTAATTAAGGATTAAAATGAGAAAGAATTGTACTAAAGAAACAGATTTTGATTATAATAAATAGACAACCACAATTGAGCTGATCAAGCTAACAAAAACGTTCACAGCAAAATTAGCAGTACTTTACAACATAAATCTTTATAATTCAAGCAATAAACTTTAATCGAGGATGTACAAATAAAAAAGGCACAAATATTGCTAAGCATAACATGCTCTATAAATTCTATAGAAGCAGCACTTTTTTTTTTCCATACACACCGCATATGCAATGCCTGAATCCAGAACCTTGAAAGACAAAACTCAATCACTAGCAGAAGATGGCTTGCATAATAATTAAGCATCGCTTGATAACATCAATTGAATGGTTTAAGAATCATCAAGAGATGCTCCTAAAAGATTTATAGAGCATGCAAAAGTTTAACGATACCTTTGTTTTTCCTGTTTATACATTTTCTATTAAGAATATTATTTGTATTATAAATGTTAATGTGACAATGCATTATTAGTTATGATCTTTTTAGTTAGCATTATTAGCTTAAATGAGATCAACTATCTATAAAAATTAAATCAGATATTTACTAAATCTATTTTATATTTAAGATTTTCTATAACATTGTATTCTTAGGTAATCAAAACACCCACATGATGTACCTTTATATATTATGCAAGCAATAAGTAAATAAATCATTGGCATACAATTCTTTATTTGATCTTCTCTCATATTAAGAAATATCTTAAACTTCAAAAATATAAAATGATTATTACTGACAATATAAGAAAATATTAGTATTATGTTTTCCTATTACAATGTGGGATAGCATTTAATTCACATGTGTATTTATCAAGGACCGGACACGGAAGTTCTTAAATTTAGTGTATTTTTATAATTACCTCGTTCTCATATTCTAATGTTGCAATGATAGAAAATTGAAACTGCATCTAAAAAGTGTTTGGCTGGACTGGTACTAATGAAATACTAAAAATAAATAATCATGTTGTATGGGTGGGGGTTGGCATGCCTTAAAATTGACTCTAGAAGACCACATTCAAAAACATTCAATTGTAAATTTAAAGATTGTCAAAGTCATGTCGATGATCCTACATTTAAATAGATTATCCCTATAATAGTTGATGGTCTTAGGTTTGCATGCGTAAAAGGTCATACACACATAAAAGAACTACATATGTCAAACATCATAGATTGATAGTCGTCTGTCTCTAGGAAGCATCTGAAGTTAATTTTGATGGACATTATAGGTTGATCTACTTTCGCATTAGGAGTCAATCTTTAAGAAGCATCATAAGTCAATCTCCATGGAGTATAATATCACTCAAGATTTGTGAATATGCTCTGTATAACAATCATACTTTGCCGTATGTGTTGATTAAAAATATTTACATTGTTATTGTTCCCAACTCGACACATTTTATTACATATAACATTAACATATGCTACAACAAATACTCTTAGTCTCTCCTTGAAGTTCTCTCGTAGGTATTACATCAGTCCTAGGAATAATTTTTATGCAGCAACAAACTATTTCAGAGCATTTATCTGAGATGATGTATAAATCTCATCACACACAAACAAACTGCAACGAAGTGAAGCATTTATAAAAATCATGACGACTCATAATATCCAAGCTCAACCACCATAAAACATAGAGGAGAGAGACCACAATTTATGTCAATACTAATAACAGCTAGTGATGTACATTTATATTTATCGAGGATTATCCCTCTCATTTAAGGGGCCAACAGAATTTTTATTGAAAAATGATTGGTCGAAAAGCCCAATAAATAGCATGAAAATGAGTGCTAGTGCTACTTGTATTATGTACATGAAGCTAGATATAGCGATAAAAAGTGTTTCTGTTAATCAAAATAATGAGTAATATGATTCCTCAAACTCTTAAATATTAAATTTATAGTCTTCCTTCACACATTCTATGCTTCTATGTACTAAATTTAAATATTAAAATTTGATTGCATGCAACCAATTTTTTTTTCTAGTTTTAGGACCAACTATTAATGAATCATTATGGCAATAGAATGACAAATAAATATGATGACCGCTATACACATAGGTACTTGTGTAGGGTTTACTAATTGAAGAAATTTTTCAAACACCACATAAATGTAGCCGCTAGATGTATAAAATATTTAATTATATTCTTATATCGAATAATTTTTTTCATACACCGCATAAAAGTAGCCGCTAGATGTATAAAGGATTTAATTCTATTTATATATGAAATAGTCTTTTGATATTCAACAATTTTAAAATATAACAATAATTTAATGTGTATTAGAGGTGACCTACACTAGCAAAAATCATCTCTTCCAACAATTAGCTCAAAATTGTTTCATCATGATTTATAATTAAGCTCACTGGTGGACCATTGCACACATAAATAGCATACCACTCTACTCTGCAAATTGCTTAGACAAAACATTGTTTGCTATGATTGAATCAAATTCATATCTATTCAATAATGCATGTTAAGGTATTAACTCATTAACAAGCAAAAATTTATTACCACCATCCTTTGGCTAAGTAGAATTTTGGCTTGAACTAAGAGGGTGAGTCAAGTTGGGTCATGCACCAGTGCTTGAACTTAACCCATTATAAGCTCATAGTTAAGCTCATATCAAACTTGACTTCGTATATTAAATGAGTTTAAAATAAGCTTGGTAAAACTTGATTCGTGGTGTCGGGAACTGGCTCGATCAAGGCAGATACTTGTGTTTCAATTCTATTTAACTCAAATTTGAGCTCATTTCAAATATTTTCATCTTCACATAAAAGCATCTTTGTTCAAAACTTATTTGCACCTAGAACAAAAATAGCAACAAGCCTATCCCACAAAGTGGGGTTGGCTACATGAATCCTTTTTCTTCATTATGTCCTATTGAGTGTCATTTTCATTTAATTTTAATAAATTAAGATCATTTTATACATGCCCATGACTTTTTAGGTCTAACTCTACCTTCCTTACCCTAAGTCAAATTTAAAACATCTACTCTCTCTAGATAAATGATGTTTAATGTGACCAAGCCATCAACGACACTCTCTAATCATATCTACCAATGGAGCTACTCCAACTCTTTTACGGATATATTCATTTCGCATTTTGTCTCTAAGAGTAAAACCACTCATCCGCCTAAACATCCTCATCTCAGCAAAACATAATTTTTTGCTTTTCTTTTACAAGTTAACATTCTACGTCATAAAGAATTGCAATTCTCACCACCACCACCACCAACAACAACAACAAAGCCTTAATCCCGCTACATGAGGTTGGCTACATGAATCCTTTTTCTCCATTGCAGGTCTCACCATCATCTTAAAAAAATTTTCTTGAAGTCTTAGTGGTACTTTTCTATCACACAATAGACCCGATGCATTCCTCCACTTCAACCAACCAATTTGAATTCCACTAATAACAACCTCATCTATATCACCACCATTTTGAACAATAGACCCGGGATATCTAAAGTGATTACCAATTATCATAACGCCGTCACTACATCAACTAATACTAAAATTATATTATGTGCATTCAGTTTTAGATCAACTTAAACAAAAGCCTTTAAATTCTAAAGTTGCCCTCCATAAATCAAGTTTTTTTCCAAACTCTCTCTGGTCATACCCACAAGGATATCATCAGCGAAAAGCATACACCTCCAATAAGAACATCCAATTAAAAAAAGTATCTGAACCTAATTAAAAAAAAAATTACAATACTCCTAATGCTAAAATTATATCCGCATGAGCTCCTCAAACTTTTGCATTAAAAATTCTAGTTACTCGCTACCTAAAGTGCTATCAATAGAGTATCCAAGCAATTATTTATAAAATGAAAAAAATAAAATAAAAGGTGGAATATATTCTAAAAAATGGTGCTTTCATGTTTGTAAGTATCCTGTAACGAAATGGTACATTTGAAAGAAAAGTTTACAGTGCAATATTTTCAATGGAGTTTAAACCCAGTGAGTTTTTCTAGCGTAGCAAGGCCTACTATTTTTTTGGTCATGTAGTGCAGATCCTAACTCTGGCAGTTGGCGCACTACTTAACAATTTTTACTCTTGGAATTCCCCTGAAATAAATTGTTCGTATATCAGTAGATGCATGGCCATAGCAAAGCCAACTAGAACAGGTACAAAATATTAATAAATAAATAAAGTTCAACTGAAAGCTTAAGCATTGGTATGCATTGCAAGCAATGAAGACTGCATCAATTAAATTTGCATGCATAGATATATAGCACAAAGACATCATATACAAATAAGAAAGACCAACCACGCAAACTGCCACTCTCAGATCCCTCCACTTTGCTTTTTGAGAATGCAAAACCTGTCTACTACTTTAAACCAAGTCAACGAAGGCACTGGCTAAAAGCTTTTGGTCATTATGGGAAGCATTTCACCATAACATCTTTTCATTTTATATTCTCTAAATATTTTTTTCTTTATCTATTTAAATACTACTTATCACCACCACTTCATGCTATTTCTCTAATAGCATATCATGCTGCTTAGAGATATTTTAGTAGCTGGCAATGCAAATATTTTCAATGAACATAAATGCCTCAGTACTTTGGGTGAGCCCATAGATCACTGTAACTTTTAGTCACAAATCATCTGAACTATTTTATCAAATCTCAAAATACCAAATGATTCACATCATCATATATCAGTTTTCCAAACCAGGATCAAACCAAGCAAGCATCATGTTTTGGAGCATGGAAATGCATATAACTTCATCATGCAAGCATTGAGATATTACAGAAAAAATTCATCTGCGTGTTAATGGAAGAGACATGATTCAATGTCCAAATATTAGTTTATGTGGAATTAAAGCTGAGATAAAAAACGTGTCATATTAACTAAAACTATCCTGGTAAGTGGTGACAATACTGAGGTCTGTCAATAAAAAAATATACGAGTGAACAGTTAGCAGGAAAACAACATTCACCTTTGTAGGGTCATTGGCGGTCTTACGAAGTCTTTCTGATAGACGGATGTAGCCAAAAGACCAGAAAACTGATACAAATGCAGCTGCAATTCCACCAGCTGTGGCATAAAACGTAACTGGCGAGGTGATTTTCCCAGTAACAATGTTAGAGAATGATATTATTACCGCTGAAACAATAGTACACACTAGTTGTCCCCAAAAACCAAAACTGCCCAACCGTTTGAAGTATCTAGATGTATTCTCCAACCTCTTAGAAACCTGCTAGATCAGCAAGGAATTAATGAGAAGGTAACAGAAATGGATCTAAGACTGCATGAGCTCAATCAAGCATATTTTATATAGACGAAGATTGTAACCAAAAAGTAAGTTGTCATACAAGGGAATCCTAAACTTTGCTTCCAGCAAGCATTTTATTGCTCAACATGGCACCTTTTCTTCTCGTTCCTAGGGTCTCATTTGTCTATTTAAATTTAAAAACATGTTATTAAAACTATGAAAATTTTCTGCTTCCATCATTTGGTTGGGTAAAGTTAAAAAATAGCATTGGCTTCCAGTGCTACAAACCTTTTTGAAATTCTTAAAAATATAATGATTTTAATTTCACATACATAATAAGTGAAAAGAAAGACATCTTTCAAAACATATTTTCTATCTACAAGCACTAATCTCTAGGTAATTAGGATGAGTACTTTCAAAAGTTCAGTCTTTAAAAGTGTCAGCTTTCCTTTCATTCTTTGCGTTTTGAGGGACAACTAGGTGAAGTTTGCTAAGATGTCACCCATATATGACACGCCATTATTTAACCTAGAAAATATGGTGACCAATTACCAAGGCTTGGCTAGAACATAAGCTGCATGCCACAACATAGCCCAAGTAGCATGCCACAACATCACCCTTAAGTGGCTTTACACAACTTAACCCAATAATTATGAAGAATAAGTAGGGTTAACGAAGGCTTCAACTGGTTCAACATTTCCCAATTTCTCAAAGGATAAGAAGAGCAAATATATGGCAATTGTGGAAAAAATAATATTTTTTTCATACTTCCCTACAATTTGCTTTAAGAACAGAAGAATAAAGATTATAGCCAATAAAGCAACTTTTATAATATTCTAACTCATACAGAAATGTGTAAATTCTATCAAAGAAAGCCCAATTCTAAAATTAAGATTTGATTTACCACATGAAATTTGGACGCTTAGAATGCAAAGATGAGAATTTGTGAGCACAATGATTAGAAGAATCAAGTACACTTAATTGGAAGAAACTAAATCCGAATGGGAGAAATTTAAAAACCATAGAGAAGGTTGTAAGCTATTGTACTTTGAAGGGTTAATAATAGTAACTCAATATGGATATTAAAAGCATGAGAGGTGAAAAAAAAAATGTTGAGATGAAGCTAATGATATAGCTATTAAATTTACTATTAGTGAGAATATAATCAGTGGTTAGCGTTATACTCATTAAAAAGAGTTTCATAAATAAAATAAGGAAAATTATGATAATATATATTAACGGAGAGGATAATTACTTGGGTTTTCATAAATAGGTATATATGTTCTAATAGGAAAGGCTATAAAAGGATTCATCAATGGGTATAAAGTAGGAGATAGAAATGCAATAAAAGATATACTGATTTGGTAAAAGCATACGGCATGGCAATATTGAGCATATTAAGAAACACTTGGTTACTTATTAGAGTGAGTGATTTAGAATGAGACAGTTATGTGAGCAATGCTTCTCTTCTTTTTTTTTTTGGCATCACAGCTAGTTGTAAATATGTATATTTCAATTTTCCAGTCATTAAAATTTACTATTGGTCTCATAGCTAACAACAAAGATGTATAACGTAATTGGAATCCACTGAAATTTTATTAGTGGTAGCACCTGTGGCATTCCGATGAGAAGAGAATTATATTTCTCTTACAAACACACTATGAAATGAAGTATAGAAGAAGAGAGAATGAGACGGTGTAAGCCACTGAAATTTAGGAGTGATTAAGGGTCTGTTGTGTGCAACATCGGCTTCATCCCGCAGTCGTTCGTTTGGTTCGTAGCTTTGCGGCAAAACTGTCGCAAAGCTGAGAGAAAGCGGGCCACGATATTAACCCTGCGGCCCCGCTTTTGCCTGAACATTTGCCCCGCTTACCCCTTTCATTTTTCTTCTGCCCTAACTACTTCCCTCGCGACTCTCCTTTGTCGTCTTGCTTCGTAGCCCCTCGATCGACAGATCTGAGGGATAACGAGCAGTTTTCTTCTTCTAATCGCAGATATGAGGGAGCTTATGAGTTTTTTCGAATGTGATGTATTCTCTTCTCATCTCCTTCCTATTTCTACGATTTTTTGTTTAGCTCATGGAACCTCTTTAGTTCTTTACCGGTTGCTTGACTAGGGTTTTGCCTTTGCTTTCCCTTCTCGTTTGAGCCATTCTTGTTTGGTGGATGCTAGCTCAAGAATGGAAGAAGGTTGTGGTTGTGGTGGTTGATTCATGTGTAGTGGTTGTCGTTCATGCTTTTTATTTCCCTTCTCGGTGGGATCTGTACATTAGTTAGTGGTTGATTCATCGCTGATGCTTTGCTCTGAGACACATTTGTTTGCAATTTGGGGGCAGGTTAACATGGATAGTGCATGTTGCAATGATTTTTTCTCTTTAGTTGATCTTCGACAGCTCATTATGACCGAAATTTATTAGAGTGAAGTTCATAGATCACACCTTATTAATATTTTGCACATCAGCTGCATATGAGCTGTC